CTAGTGCTGGTGTATGTGGCTGGCGTCTTAGCCGCTTGAGCTACAGGTGCCACCCCATAACAGTGATTCTTAATGGCCTTTGTCCATGCCTGGTTTCTGCCAGGTTATGGACAAATATTTCTGCATGCCCCCTGCAGCTTTGGAAGCCATCTCACATTCAGCGTGCCACAGACCATGCTTTTCATCTCGTCCTCTCAGGATGCCTCCCTTTAATTGGTCTCTCTTGTAGTAAAAGGCATAACCACTTCCTACTATTTCATTCACCCACCAGAACTCAGCTCCCAGACTGGAAGCCTGAGAGTCACTCTGGGCCATTTCTGTTCAATAGAACTGCCTGTGATGATGGGAAGCTTCCATAATGTGTGAAAGTGGCAGCCACTGGTAGCACACGGTTGCTGGGTGCTGAAATGTGGCTAGTGTGACTGAGGAGCTAAATTCTTGATTTTATCTCATTTTAACTCATTCTAAATACCCACAGGTGGCAGGGGGCACTATACTGGCCGACTGGCCGACCTGAGCCCTGATTCTTCTCCTCCCTCACTCCCTAGTGTCTGATTGTTGTCTGAGTCCCATGGAGTCTATGTGAGAACTTCTTACGTTGGTCTCTTTTCTCTTCCTCCTCCTGTCACTTCTTGCCTGAAATAGCCTTTGACACTGCCTCTCCATTGGCTCTGCAGCCACCTCTTCTGAGACTCTGGGCCTCCACACGTGCTGGTCCCTCTGGCCAGAGGAGGTGTGTCTTTAAATGCTTTAGCACCTTATTTCCATCTTTCCTTTCCATGATTTCCTTTTTGGTTTTAGTATAATCTCTTTCTGTAAAGTAATTTGGTTTGACAATTCTGATTCTGATAATATTCGAACTTCCTTCTACAGTCTCTGTCATTTAATAAAGCTTGACAACTTCTTCAGTGGGCCCCATGGTGGAAAAGTCCTGGGAGATAATACTAAAAGGGCCCTCTGTGCAGGATGCTGACTGTTCATCTCACCCTTTTCCTTTCCTCCAAATTTGAGGCATGCTCAGGAATAGCGCCCCCTCCCTGTTTGCCGGCTGTCTCCAGAAGAGAAGATGCTGTTGGAAGTGCAGGCTCTGTGAAAGACAGATTATGTATGAAGGGCAGAGCAGCTGCAGTGCCCAGGGGAGAGGTGAGGATGGTGCCACACCAGCTCTGCCCTACCAGCTGTGACCTCGGGCTGTTCCCTTATCAGAGCCTGGGACCTGCTGTGTGCCAGATACCCCACTGGACCTCCCCTCCCAGTGAGAGCAGACGCTGGAGGCTTTCAAAGGGACTTTCTAGTCTATTAAATGTTCCATTTTTCAAGGACCCTCTTTTGCCTCTGAACCCAAATCTTCCTCCCAATAAAGTAGCAGAGTGGGAAGAATACTTTACCAAGTCTCGGAACCTGGATTCTCATCTAGCCGCACTGCCGATTGGCTAACCACAAGCCAGTCTTCTCCTCTGTGTCTCATTTCCTCATCTGTTCATTGTGATTAGAAAATATCCCGATGATAGAATCCAAGAAGATGATGGGAATTATTTGTGAGAAGTACAAACATACATATGATTAAAATTATTATCAACATTATTTGAGAAGGAAATTGCTGTATGCTTCCTATTTCCTGTAATCAGAGTTTCTCAACCTTAGAGCTGTTGACATTTGGGTCAGACAATTTTTTGTGGTGGGGGCCGTCCTGTGCACTGTAGGATTTTGTTGAGGTGGGCCGTCCCCACCACTGTGACAAGTAAAAGTGTTTTAGATGCCACCGAATGTAGGAAACAGTTGCCTCCAGTTGAGAACCACTGTCTTGAGCTAAATGCTTTGTTAGCATCTCTTACTTAAAGCTTTTTCCTCTGCCTCCTTTTTTCAAGGAGTATCTATCATACCTCTCGCGAGGCACTGGGCTAAGACAGGTGACATGACAACAGAACAGTCCTCTACACTTAAGGAGCTGTCTCTCAAATAAATGGCAGTGCCAAAGGAATGACTGTCAGTGGCTCTGGGAAAGTGCCACAGGGGCGGAGAGGTGAGGGGGCAATGAAGTGTCCGGGGAGGAGGTGGCCTGGGGCTGGGAAGGTTCGCTGAAGGCCAGCCCACTGGTCTCAGGGTCCTGAGATGTGACTACAGGGGCCTTGGGAAAAGAACAGGGAGCTTTACAGCCTGTAGAGAAATGGCTTAAATGGTGTGTGACTGTGAAGGTGGAGCACAGTTCTGACAGCGTGGAATTCTCACTCTGCATCCAGCAAGCTGCAGGCTCTGTGGCCCCTGTACACTGCCAGGAGGGGAGAGTACACAGCTGGGTGTCAGCACTCTGCCCTCTGTATTGTTGGTGATTTTTCAGTCCAGAGTTGTGTTCAATATTCAAGATTTGATGACAGAAGGCCTATTTTCCATTCCTAATCACCTTACAGTGGGAGCAGGGAAGGCAGGCAGATCAGGAGATGCATTTGATGGTGATTTTTCTTTAGTATTTGGAAGATAAGATGGAAATACATGAAGGCCAGCTGGCTTCACACATCCCCTTAGGGTATGTAAACGGGGAAAGATGGTGGTACTGTCTTCTTTATATGGTGTCTCTTAGCCTTCTTCTGAAAGCATTCCTCTTTTTTACATCACTTGTTCATTGTAACAAACCAGTGACTTATACATGGTTGGGTGAATGTGCTCAGCTCACATGGAGGAAATGACGAAAATGAGGGGCAGAGAGATTGTCTTGCCTGGAGTGACACGAGCTGTTAGTGGTAGAACCGGGACTGGACCCTGTTCTCTCTCCTCCAGCCTTGCTCTTTGTCCCAGACCCAGGGGAAAACAGTGTTGCCATCTCAGGAGGACAGAGCAGGTATGAGGATTTGCCGAGCTCATCATGAAGCGTGGGAGAATATTAAGGCTGAGCTCAGAAACTATTTGCCAGATTCCTTCCAAGAGACCAGCTGTAGGTGTGTGTGTGTGGGGGGTCCCCAAGAGAAGACTGTACCCCAGCCCCATACTCGGGGGACTTGCACTTGGGAAGCCATTGCCCAGCCCTTAAACCAGTACTCAGATGCCCAGTGGTCACAAAGCATGATATCAGGGTACTAGAGTGGGGCGTAGGGGTGGCTGAGGAAGAGTGACGGTCTTTTTAAGCTCACAGAGCTTCTCACCTTTGCGTGAGGAAACAGTAGGAGATTGTGGAGGAAGTAGAGACCTGAGCTGGACCTGTAGTCTACATGGGACCTTGGGGTCACAGGTGTTCCCAAGTACTCTGCCAGCACCACTGGGTTAAACTTGGTCCTGTGGTGGTGCTGGGCAGAGGGAAGAAGCCTGGAGAGCCCTCGGCAGGAGGCCTGCAGCCCCCAGCACCCCTGTTTCAGGTGCATACACTTGGCATTCCTGACTCAGGGTCCACTGACCTCAGCGGTGAGAGGGGACAGAGCCTGTGGACAGTGGAGCCTGGATCCCCAAGGCAGCCTCTGATCATGTGTGACCACAGGCAGCCTTGATGTCCGAGGAGCTTCTCATGAGAGTGGTCACTGCCACACATATTGAAGGCCTTCCTCTGAGTCTGGACTGCTGTGTCCTGTTGAAGACTTGGGGACAGTGTAGCGAAGGGGCAGCAGCCATTGAGCCACCGGGGACATGTGTGTCATCCTGTCCTATGAGACCCGCACACTAAGGAGCTTTGTAGTTAAAAAAGATAAAATGAAGTCCCCTAAAGTAGCCCTTTGGTTTGAGACTGTGTAAAATTCAGTGCTTTGCTGTGCCTCACATGTCAGTGCCAGGGCAGTCTGAGGCCATGGCCCTGGGTCTGGAGTAGTTGGGAAGACTTGGGGGAGGCGTGGGGTGTCTGGATCAGGAAGGGCTGGGCTGGAGGTGGGGAGAGGAAGTGGTACTGAACACAGGCCTAGGGGAGCATCTCCTGGGACCCCCAAGGCCCAGGGCTGATGAGTAGTGCAGTGTGTGTGCAGGGTAAAGTGGCAGCTCCTGGTCATTGGTCATTTGGAAGGTGCCCCTGCCAAGCCTGGGCACACCTGGGGCACCATTTGCTACATGCCATGTTGTTTGTACTTCTGTGTCTTCAGCCCAGGCAGCGTTTGGTATGAGAGTGTGTGGGGTAGGGGTCATGCAGGTCATTCAGAGAGATGTGAGGACAGACTGGGAGTCTTGAACAGAGAGCGGTGACTCTGAGGACAGCAGACTGCAGACCTGATATTTCTAAAGAAATAGGGGATCCTAGTTGGGCTCTTACACTTGGTGGGCTCCCAGCTACTGGGACAAGGATGATTGACAGGGGAGTGTCAGACAGCTTGGTGAGAGGTTGCATGTTAGGCTGTCGCAGGTCCTGGAGCTGATGACAAACCAGTGACTTATACATGGTTGGGTGAATGTGCTCAGCTCACATGGAGGAAATGACGAAAGTGAGGGGCAGAGAGATTGTCTTGCCTGGAGTGACACGAGCTGTTAGTGGTAGAACCGGGACTGGACCCTGTTCTCTCTCCTCCAGCCTTGCTCTT